AGAGTAATCCTACAAACCCTAACTGTTTGATGTTGATTCAACTCCTTCTCTTTTTTTTGGTCTAGAGCAAGACCAAGATACCATAGATCTAGCCTATTAACCATTTAATCTACTCCTTTACAAGATCCAAAATCTTCAAAGCCTTCACTCGAGTGAATTTGATTACGACTATTGACCACAAGAACTTCCAATATGATTCACTATCTCACGCTACTCCTTTGCAAGATCTCCACTCTTTAAAGCTTTCACTCGGTCGAATCCCCTATTGTGAAGTCTTGAACAAAACCCCCAAATCTACCAAAGATGTTGGAGGATAAACCCTAGGTTTTTCCGGATGAAACCCCTCACAATTCTCAAACCAATATTCTCGGTTACACAAACATAATTGGACGTTATCAAACCTCGTCTAGATGACACTCCAATAAAAAAATGATTATATGTAGTTTTTTAGTGTGTATGCATAGATTGGAGGTTGAAGATGAAGAGCAATGGTGGTCAATATTTATAGTTTCATCAAGTTGAAATGATGCATGTATGATGTATTTATTATTGAGGAAATATGGTGGCAAAGAGGGAAACTTCGGATTTAAAAAATAGTTAAAAAAATTTACCAAACAAACAGGATGTTTCAGCACATACGAGTTATGTGCCGACACATGATGTCAAAAATAAATCAGTGCCAACCTGAAACAAGCAATGTGTCGACACTTGAGAAACAAAAAGCTACAGGCTTTAATAATGCAGTACATGTGCCGACCTAAAAATCGTATGTGTCGGCACATACTATTATTTGTTCATCATCTGCCAACCTAAAATGGACTATGTGCCGACTTGTACATTACAAAAGTTACGGTCTTTAAAACTGCAATACATATGTCGGTCTGAAAAACGGATGTATCGGCACGTGTTGTTAATTTTTGTGCAGAAAATGATATTCAAGATTTTGGCTAAATTTAAACTTGTTTTGAATGCTTCCTAAAACCTCTAATGCAAGGGTGCATCAAACGACACACAAATGCCGTCCAATATACATAAATGCTAAGTTTTTCTAGTTTTGACATCATGCAAAACATCTACTGGTGAAGTTGCACTCACAAGGTGAGGTTCCAGGATGTTCAGTTTAACATTTCTTCTTCCATTTCATCTATCATGAGAGTTGTTTCTTTGGCTGACAGCACTGCTTCAGCATTTACTTTTTTGAATATGCAAGATTTTGTGATCTTAAAGAGCTTTAAAGTTGTTATTCGACCGCCTAAAGCTCCTAAAATCTTTGAGGTTATTTGAAAACTGTCGCCTTAAAATTGGATAAAAATTAATTATGGTGGAGCATCGATTACTCCTTCGGGTTCATCTGTTTGTGGGGGCATCATGAGAAATAGTGGTGGTAGCTTTTTGGGAGCTTTTGCTTCTTTTTTGAGAGTCTCCAACTTTCTCATCACCGAATTCACTGATGCAATGTTTGTAATTGAGTTCGCTTATGAGAAGAATTAGAACAATATTTGATTGAAAACAGACTCGACGACAGTAATCAAAACCTTCAAATCTTCTTATAAAGCGCCTTGGTCTATTAAAAATATATGGTTGAACTGTATAAATATAATTTTTAATTGAAATTTCGTAGCTTCTCATATTTTTAAGAAAAACAATAGTTATGTAGACATACTTACTAATTTAAGGCTTAATATTACCGATATTGCTGTACTTTAGATTTATCTCTTATTGATAGGGTTCTAGTGATTGTATCATATTCTTTTTCAACATTTTTCTTTTTATTATATATCTTCATTTAAAAATAAAAAATAAAAGACCTTCCAACTATGACTGTAACCTAATTCACCACCTTTAACGAGATTGTAAACGGGTGAGTACCCATATACGTATCAATATTTATGTGTTTCTATTGTTTATTAAAATAAATAAAAAACAAGATTGTGTAAAAAACTGAACCACAATTTAAAACCACGATGGTAGAATTGAATGATTAACATGGTAGACAATATCCATCAAATCATGAACATGTTAATAACTATGTATGAGGGATGGGATATGGCTATGTAGGCCAATTTAAATCTGACTCGCCAGTAATCACAGTCTAAACATGGTAGCAGCACAGCACCAAGCAAGAAACAAGGGTTCCATTATAATGTAGTATTTTGTGTGTGGACCACAAGATGGATGATGAAACACACACACAGCTTTATCTGATACCAAAAAAATCCCCAAAACAAGTAAAGCATCTTATACGTGTATTGGTAATGGGCAAGGTTTGGACTAGTTAACAAGCAAGCTGTCTACAACAAAAGCATATCCTGTGTGCTATACTTATAGTGTGTTTTTATAGTAAAGCTTCCAAACTAACCCTTCTTTCACCTTCTTTCCCTAAGTAATCAACCAAGTCCCCCCTTTCGCAACCATATTAAAGCTCAACCATAAAGCTATACAACATGCCAAATTACATTCATTACACTTGCATTTTCTACCCCTGCAAATGTCTAATATATATGCTCTCTAAATCATTCAATTCTAACAAAGACCAACGTGTAAACAAAAACCTAAGGTGTATGTTAAGAGTCTCACATCGAACAATATATAGTCTGAACATGTGTTTATAAGTGGGGGCAATCTTCACACTACAAGCTGGTTTTGTAGGGTTGAATTAGGCCAAACCACATCTTAATATGTTTTTTTTTACGGTTTTCTATATTTATTTTTGCTTTTAGACATTATAACGACAATTAAATCTTATCGCACTGATTAAAATTGTACTTATGAATTAATTTTTAACGTAATATTTTTTATTAATTAATAAAAAAATATTTAACAAAATCTAACAAATGTACAACTTAAACATTAAATATTTATAAAAGGAGTACATAATACATGTGACACTGATCATATTAAAAATTTGTGAGAGAAAAATTGAATTAATTTTTCTGAATTTATTAATAAAAACAAAACAAACGCAAATTAAATTTTGTTTAAATACGTTTATAAATGTAAGTTAAACTATAAATTCGAATCAAAAACCATAACTCTTAATTTTAAATTAGAATAAATTCTAAATACAAAATCAATTTTATACGAAGGCATCACTTCTAAACTTAATTTTAACTCATTCAAAATCAAAATCAAAATCAAAATTACACTTGCACAGAATTTTACATTGACAGCAAAAGCTTACACTTGCTCATCCAAAAAACTACACTGTGATTAGTAACTTTAGACCAAAAATATATAACTTTTTCATCTTAACAATTAAGCTTTTTACATGTATTAATAATTACATTATTGAATTAAGTAGTGCTCCACCATCTTAGAGTCAATTAAATGCAACAAGTCAACAAGTTTACCATGATTGTGATGAAGTAGAGAACTGACATTACAGAGATTCTAGGGATCCTAATAGATTCTCTACCCCATTTCTCTCTAAACTCCATTGATGGTAGTAACTGGAAAGCTGCAAAACAAAAGTCATGTCCCTATTCTTATATTTACATCTATATTCATGTAGCTTGGTTTTTAACTTATACACACTAGGGTTGCTCTAAATGGGAAAGATCATTATTTTCAAAATTAATATTACATATAGAACGAAATAAAGGAAGAGAAAGAAAAATAAAGTACTCCATTGCCATCAAAATTCATCATCACTACATTTTAATGCTTTTCACTTTTTATTTTTATCCAACGGTTAAAAAAAATGGGATATCAACAACATAGATCTAATAATTTCTTCCATACAAATAAATATTAACGTAACTGTTTGTTTAATTCATTAAATCTATATAATATACATTAACATTAACATTAACATTATGTTCATGTGAGAAAAATAGGTGAAAATAATATAGTATTCTTTTATTTAATTAGTTACTAATTAATATATTATTCTAGAAATAATTTTTGCAGCATGAATTTAATTACTTCACGCCTGGATTTGAGTCTACCAACTTTTCTTCCCCACACAGAAGAAAACATTGACAACTTAATTGCATAGTACTTTTCAAATTTAATACATCACATGAAATAAAATACTATATTAATTAGTACAGTAATAACTTGCACATCATCCAGAAAATGATAAAATGCAAATCCAACTATTCATAATACTAACAAAAATCTGGTTCCAGTGTCCACATATCATTAATTTTTTGTTTCAAAAAATAATGAACAAACATATTCAATACAATATTGACTCTAAAAACATGAGCAAACTAAACTAGTAAAATTTGTTTAATTAAATATATATAATCATAATCAACATAAAAAATTTCATAATTAAAAAGAATACAAACTTTTATAAAATGAACTAAATCAAACATTAGGTTGGAGGAAGCTTTTTTTCTTCTCACAATTTTGCAGGTGGTATGAGGAAGGAGCCAAAAAGGTTTAGCCGTTAGATGAAGAAGTAGTAATGGAAGAAGAGACAAGAAATGTAGAAAAAGACATGAAAAACGGAAAATGCAGGTGTGTGTTCTAAAACGACATTGATGCTTTCGAGAACAACTGTCATAGGATGGAGATTGTATTGTATTGTATCAACAACATATAGACAAACAAAATTAAATCTAGAGGGGTCATCTATTTTTAGGTTCATTATCATCATCAAATATCTCATTACCTTAACCTTCTAAATTCTAATTACTTAAACATCACCTCATTCCCATTCCATATATTCCATATATTCCAAATCCAAATACATTCATTCATTCACCATAGATAACATCTACATTCTACACATAAACTTCATCATCAACAATAATAACAATAATATATAAACCTCTAATTAATTCTAGTACTAAATCTTCTTACCTTACTTTAACTTAACTTAACTTAACCCTCCAAGTCCATCACATTAACACAAATTAAGTACCTTAAATAATTATTTATAATGTTCCATTCTACTTCCACTTCCACTTCCACTTCCACACACAATTTCCCTCAAATGAACCCTAAGAAAGAAAATTTTGGAGTTTTAGATATTATTATATTTTTTTTTTCTAGGGCTTCTTACCGAGAGTGTGTTTGTTGTTATGCATCCAAACCTTAAGAACATGACGCTTAACACCACTTTCATTGCAGAATTCTTGAACCAAACCTTCATCGTGTTTCTGAATTCTCCACCCCAATTTCTCAGCTAACTCCAACATCTTATCCTTCTGTTCCGGTGTAAACTTGGTTCGGTGGCGCTTCTTACTCGAACCTCCGCCACTCGGATTTGAAATATCTTCATCTTGATCTTCCCTCGTGCTCTGCGTCCCTCCTCCACCACCCGAGGTCGACGGTAGAGCAAGCGTCCCCGGCCTCTGTTGTCCGGAAACATGCAAGTACCCAGCCGGAGTTCGATAATAAGCCGCAAACTGCGGCTGAGGCGGCGCATGGTGGTGGTGATGCGTCAACAGAAAAGGATCTCCGCCGGGGAAGTCAGTCGACGACTCTTTGCGGTGGAAATTACGGTGGCAGTTACACGCAGCGCATTTTAGTGACTCCAAACTTCCTTCATTCCCCGCCGGCATAAACTCGCCGCAACCATCTAAAGCATGGCCACCTATTCCGACAGCATGATTCTTTAAACACTCTCTATACCTTGCTTTTCCGTTTCCGACACCGATGTTGCTGTTGCTGATGTTACTGATATTTTCGTTGTTAGTGTTCCCGTTGTTGTTGTTGTTAGTGTTACCGTTGTTGTTGATGATGTTTCTCAATGGATGAGTAACCATAATAGCTTCAGTGCCACCTGGCATCTTAACTCGTGACGAGTTAGGTAACGAGTCATAACTCGCTGAACCCATACATAACTCTTCTTCTTGTTCTTCATGGTCTTGAAATTCCATTGTTGAAGCAAATTTGGAAGCTAAACGATCAATTTTGTTTGATTCAATATTCATAAACTTTTGAAGGTTCTATGTTTTCTGTGGTGTTAATCTAAACAAACAGCATATACAAATACAAATACGAATTCTTTCTCTCACTCGCTTTGTCTTGGACCATTCATCATTACCTTGTACCGGCTATGTCCGGTTACACGGTAACTTTGGGTTTTTATTGTGTGTGCTAGATGTGAATTTTACTGTGGAGTTTTAACTTTTCACTTTTTTGGGGACAATAGTACTCTGCTCTTGTTGCAGCAGGAGCATGAGCCAAGGACGAATCACGAAAGAGGAAAACAACAAAACAACTACAAGGTTTAGCTTAATATTTTTTTATGTACATATTTTTTGTTTCATGAATATAATTATTGTGCTCGTTTTATACAAACAATATTATTATTATTATTATTATTATTATTATTATTATTATTATTATTATTATTATTATTATTATTATTATTATTATTATTATTATTATTATTATTATTATTATTTTAAATACAAACAATTTTGTGTTTGCGAAAAATATTGAACTAAATGACTTTCTTATAGGATAAGGAGAATCACCATAAGAATATATTTCTATATGATTTTAGGGGATTTCGGTGCTGCGACAAATGCTCGTATTGATCCAAAATAAATGTCTTGCTTATCCCTCTAGCGGGAGTCTCTTTATATAGTCTTTTTGATGCTCTATTAAGAGCTTCATTCAAGAGGTGACTCTTTGGCTTCTGAACCGTATAACTGTCGTTGTCACTATGAATAAGAGCGCTCAAGATGGCATAACGCTTGTATTAATGTGCCTTCAATTGTTACGACTGTTAATGGGTCGTGCTGTTAGCCAGCTCCGATTATGTTCCCCTTATAATGAGTTACTGAAATGCCTACCGGTCGTAACCCTTAGCAGAGCTAGAACTCGGTCCTGGTACTCTTTGCCTACATAGGCTATATATACTCGTTTTGTTCCCCTTCTAGACGACTTTATGACCCGGTTTAGAGCTAATATTTTTGAGATGTACATAAGCCCCTCGAGTACAAATTATGTTACAAGAATGAAGTGTTCGGTCAAGGAGAGCACGAGATTGTATTGAGGTTTGAATCGGGTTATAACCCGACTTCACCTTTGTTCACGTGTTAAGAACTAAAGAGTCATGTCCCCTGGATAATTTCTTTCTCCTAGCGTAATGATGATTTTTATTGGGACTTGTTTATTTGGCGACGTTTCTTTTCCAAATGCATTGTTCATTGGGGCCCTATTTAAACCTCATTTCTTTCTTTCCTTTTTCATCTCAGCACCAGTAACATCTTATCCTAGAGAAGCTTACATTTCACCAAGGAGTTCATCACTTTCAGGTACCTCCCTCTCTTTTTTCGCTTTATTTTGCGTTTTATTCTTTTTATTCTTAGAGGTCATCATAAGAGAGTGAGACGATAAGGGAAACATTGTGAAACCCATAAATGTCGAAGAGGTGAAAAAGTTGTGGAACCAATACATGAGTGAGGTTAAGGGTGCCTTAGGTCATGAGGAGTTTGATCGAATCACAATAGAAGTTTATGGTGACATCTTCGCCTCTTTAAGTGATTCTGACTCCAATTCTTCCTCCTCAGGTTCCATAGAAATATTGATGGAGACGACTTCCCCTTTCGACCTTGAAGTTCTGGGCTACAAAAATATTTCACTTGATGATAAAGAGATTTCCAAAATTCAGTCACTGATAAATGTTTCTTCGATTGGGGATGAAGACGACACCATCCTGGAGTCTTGTGCCTTTGGAGAACGGCTATGCATACTACGCCCAAAGGGTTCTAATGAAGAATTCTTTTATTTCTATGTTGGGGTATTGGAGGATTTCAAGATCCGCCTGCCCTTTTCTGATTTTGAGGTAGACATACTGAAGACCATGAACGTCGCACCCTCTCAGCTTCGCCTCAAAAGTGTGGGTTTCATTAAAGCTTTTGAGATAGTTTGTGAGGCAATGCATATTGTCCCTATCATAGGTCTATTCTTTTCTTTCTTTGAGGTGAAAGAGGTCCAGAAGTGTTCTTGGATTCAGCTTAATGGCCTTCCCCACAAAAGCTTCCTCCAAGTATATACCATAAATTATAAGGGTTTTAAAGACCAGTTTCTACGGATTAAGTATGGACCGAGGTGCGCTCAAGTATTATATACTTTGGACGGGCATCCGCATTTTCCTCATTACTGGACTGGGGACCCTCTATCGATCTCTAGTTTTAACTATGACAAGTTAAGCGACTTGGAGATCCAAGCTCTGGACGTACTCGACTCTTTCCGAATGATGAGGGTCAGAGAATTATTTCCTTTAATTGTCAAATAGATCCCATATTTTCTCATTAATAGTTTTTATTTCTATTTAAAAGATGTGTTTAATTATTGAAGGTGCTTATACTGTCTCTTTTTGTGTTTCCGTTTTGCAGACAAAATGATGGATCTATCTGTTGCCAAGCAAAAGAAGTTGATGTTGGAGGCTAGAGCTGCCCATAAGGGAACTAGTGGACCTTCCATGGACAAATCTGACCTTGCCAGGTTAGAAACCCGTTCACTGAAAAGACGAAAGGTTGCGGGTTCCAAGGCTATTTCGAGTATGGCTGAGCCTCAGACTTCTACTTCATTTGTTCAGGAGGAGGTTCAACAAGGTTCTTTGAAGAAGCTTAAGACCCTTATAAATGATGATGTCTGCCTGGAAGATTTGGAGAATACCTCGCTGATGCAAGAGCCGAGGAAGGTCATAATTCTGAGAAGTTCAAATTCTGGTCCAACAACTTTGATGGCCTTCGATTCCTCTATGATCATCTCAACGCGACTAAGGATGTCAACAAGGTTAAGACTGTAGACCGACAAAAAATGACTCAGAACCTCAACTCTTACCTTATGAGGTATGCGGTTTTGGCTCGTGGTCTATTTGAATCTGGTGATAACTATGAGAGGACTGAGCTAAAGCTCAAAGATTAGATTACTCATCTAAAAGATGCTCAGAAGACCCAGTCTGAGAAGTTATCTAGTTTGGAAAAGAGCTTTGCCGAGGAGAAGAAGCAGAGGAAAACTTTGGAGTCAGAGAGCAAGGCTTCTCTTTCTCATCTTACTGGAAGGTTAAAGTTGTAAAAAAAACTACCAACGATGAGCTCAAAAAGGCCCTCAAGAAGTCCCAGGTTGAACTTATCTTCGTCGGGGATGAGGCTTTTGACCGGGCCAAGGATCAGATGTTATGCCTTCATCCTGGCTTAGATTTATCGAAGATGGGTTCCTTTAAGGTGGTGCAGGGTATCCACCTTGTAGATCTTGAAGATGTGGAAAAGGATCCCTCTCTCCAGCCGAATCCTGAAGACCCTACTGGTGACAACAACAATGGTGTAGAGAATGACAACCCAGTTAGTTGATTTCCTTTCTCTTGTTTTGTTTTGGTTAGTCACCCGCTAGGATTCCCTTATGTAATTTTTTGAAAGGGAGTGTGGTTTTGTCCCCCTTTTTTCTGTTATACCTCTGACTTTCTGCCCTCCGGGTTTTTGTAATGAACAACTTTTCTCCTTTTGTGGCTTTATGCTAGTCATCTTTTCCTGATCGTTTTGTTTTTAACATCTTTAAAATAACGTAATATCGTTTAAAATAATCATGTGTATGTACTCAAGCCCCTTGGGCACAAAATTTACAGAGCTTTAAGTGTCTGATCACAGAATGTTGAGTATTATTTTGAGCCTTTTAAATGGGATCCCCATGTGGCTTTTCCCGACCCTTGAGACACCAGGAACGTGTGCTCGGACACATTTATCCTTTTGACTTGAAAAGCCCCAAGCTTGTTTGAAGTTGGGTTCTTTCGTAACTTCAGGTTTCTGATGAACCTCTCTGAGTACTTGTTTATGAGCTTTATCTTGATTTAAACCATAACATTCTTGGCTTTATAAGCTCCAAGCCTTTTGCAGCTGTGCTAAGTAGTCGTGCGTTTTTTCCATAGCTTTGGGGTAAGAAGCCCCCAAGTGAGCTGATTATCGCATGTATCATTTTTGGGATTTGCCATATTGGGGCTACCCATTTGGTTCAGAGTCCTTTTACCAGAGATTTTTGGTATAGAACCAACTTGACTTTTACAGGAGGTGCATCATTTTCAAAGTACTCGACTCTTTATGAGGAGTGTCCGACTATGGCCCTTTAAGAAGGGGAGTGTTAGATATAGTGTTATGACTCATATAAGAGAAGCGTCAGACTACAACCCTTTAAGAAGGGGAGTGTTAGATATAGTTCTATGACTGATATATGATGAGCGCACGACTACGACCCTTTAAGAAGGGGAGTGTTAGATATAGTGCTACGACTCATATATGAGTGTAGCCGTAAAAATGTTGAGACTAAGCCATTGAATTGACTTGACTCGCACAGATCAAATAAAAATCGCCACTGCACTTTATTGTTTCCAGAGGAATGGGAAAAGAGTGAATAACCTAAAAAAAGAGGGGAAGAGAATCTAGGTACGGGGGTTGGTTATGCAAACAGAAGGTATTAGCACCCTAAACATCTACAGTACTCTGCATGAACCTCTTTGAAAATTTGTGTATTTTATCTATAAGTGTTGTATAAAAAAAATAGATGGTGGAGATGGGAAAAGAAGTTTTTTTTTACAATTTTTAAACCTGCCGCGGTTGCGAACATTTAGTGCTTACGTACCACCTTCCATGCTATAGGGGATTCGGGTACTCGTAATTCACCTTTAAAAGTTTTAAAACATAAGTGTGTTGGTTAATTTTATGAGACGAGACATCATCGTCATATCCGAGTGGAAGAACATACTTACTACCCACAATTTACAAGAAAGGAGAATTTGCATCAACTCAAAGTGGAGGATATAGCTTGGATTCTTAAAAATCAACAAAGCCTCTGTAACGCCTGTTGATTTAATTAATTATTTAATTAAATTATTTTTGGATTATTTATCAAAGTTGTGATATATTGAGAA